GATAAGTCTAACTGGATTGAATATAATAAAATACTGATATAATGATATAATTTAGGTTCACTAGTATTCGACAGTTCAAACACAATAACATATTATATAAATTTACTAGTTAGTACAATTGAAATATTGAAATATTAAAGTTGGGTTTTACAAGTATTTTATTCTTGAAGCATCCATTAAATAATTCACAAACTTTGTTGGTTAATAGAGTTTATAAATTTAAATAAATCTGCACAATATCTCGTTAAATTATGACATAAACTAATCACAAGGTGACGAAAATTTAATGATTCATATTAAGTTCAATTTAAATATATTACGTGTACACAATTACAATTTACATAGAAATGTAAATTTATTCGTCCAATTTTCTACTCAAAATTAACTTTAAAATTTTAGCAATTAATTTTTACCCGAATCAGTGAAATTTGAATCGTTCAAATAACCTATATTTATCTGTTCACTTTTACAAACACATTTACAATAACATGTATCAAATATTTTTATTTACTCTGTTCGTCAAAACGGTAATAACAATGATAATGAAAAATTTGTAAACTTTGAATGTTAAAAGCGAAGGAATATATTTATTTTAATAATTTCATTAATTCTGTATATTGCATTCAACTGTATATTTATATTTGCATTTCAAATAAATCTCCTGCGTTATTTTGCAAGCCAATTATCGAACAATCGAACAATACTTAAATCTATATACATGATCGACAAGGTAGGATTTTTATTCATTAAACAGCAAAAAATATAGGGGAAAAAGATATTGAAAAGGGTCCACTTATTAACGTAGTGTTATTAACACGAGTCTTATTAACCCTTTGCACTCGATAGGTGATTTTCAGTCACCATTTCATAAAATTTGGAAGATCGATAGTAATTAATATATCAACTTTAATGTAATGTAACAGTGTGCGAGGTATCGAGATCAAATAATTCTACAATTTTATTATTATACAATTCTTTATTCACTCCTCAAAAAGGAATCGTCAGTATTTTAGTAAAGAATCTTTGAATTTCTACTCTTCTCTAGCCAAAAAATCGTCGAGTGCAAAGGGTTAATACTACTTAGTAACGTATAAGATAAGTTTTCTGCAGATGATCAAGAATGTGTAAAAATTTGCGAATGATTATCTCGTTTCTTAACTTCTGCCAACAAACGAGAATTAATCCGAAAATTCCTTTTCAAAAATCGAGTCTGGAATATTGTTAATTATTCAGAAGTCAAGAGCACCGTCCGTTTTCTGCGTGCTGTCGTATTTACTGTCTTCAGAAGTTCAGGCCTTTCTTCGTCCCCGTGTATTCGTTTGCACGAAACTCTGCTTCAATATTTACGCACGCAACATTCACCGGAAAGTTTCGCTTCTATCAACTTCTCGGATTTGAAGTTTCAACTAAACTTCCACAATGAATAAATTGGCACGCGGCTATTGCGCTTTTACGAAATAATGAAGCAACGATATCGAACTACTGTAATCCTGGTTCAAACTTTTCCATCATTATCAATTAACTTTCGCAAACGGGAGAAAAAGAAAAGTACAGAACAAAAACATAACGAGACACAACTAACGAACATTTCCCTTCTCGATCGATTCGACTTTTTCTTTGTTTTACGAAACGTTGAAGTAGCAGGGAACATGAATATCAAACTTTGACTGTCGACTGTCGACACGTATAACCTATAGCACGGGAATTGTGGAACGGTGAGCTTAAAACAATTAACGAGAAAGCGATAAAGAAGTTAAAACGTCGAGGGCTTCTTTGTACTTTGCTTAACATTTGAAGATACTTTTAAAAAATATTTATATTAATCCCAATGTATATGGAGAAATATAGTTATCACGGACTCGCGTGATTTTTTGAGGTTAGGATTTGTTGAGGTTAGAATCTAACGTATAGAAGCCAATCGCGAAATATAGGGAGATCTTTTTATATCATAAAATTTATAATTTTTAATTTAAATCTCAAATTTTATTATTACCACGAATTTGAAATTAATAATTATAATATTATAAAATTTATTGCGTTATATTTATGATCATTTTAGCAGTAAATCTCATTTTTGTTCATCTAGAAAATTGAATTATAATGTTCTGTAGTAGTACTTAGTAGCCTGATTCCATTTTATACGAAATGATGAAAAGAGAGATTAAGGGGTATCCATCTAGAATTACATTGGATTAATGGATCTACTTCTTAAGCAGGTCATACTTAGAAATATGTATATTGGAATAATTCTTAAAGACGTTCGTGAATACGAATCTGGATGAAAACGTATAATTGTCTTTTTTCCCATGAGCAATTAAAAAATTCATAGACATTAATTTACACAATAATTTAACTGTTAACATATATACAGTATGGGACAAAATGATAGCTGATTTTATAATATTTAGTGTTTGTTGGAACTAGAGTAATGTACACAGAGGATACATTTTTGAATAATATGAAGAAATGTTACCTGCAGTTTTCATCTTCCTTTACAAATTTCACTTGCTTATGGAAAAAATGAATGCGATAGTATAGAGAATCGTAATCTAGGTACCAAAAAAGAAAAAAAAAAACGAATTAATGAGATTTTATATTTTTATATTTTATACGAATGCGAATCTGGTAACAAAAATTGCTTGTCATTAGGTTCAGTTCAAAGAAATAGAAACAATTGATTTTTGCTACATTCGCACAAAATACTCGAAAGATTTAATTTCGCCACAATATTTTTATTGTCTGTTTCATATAGTACTAAGCCACTTTTACAAAATCAAATTAGGCATATAAACATATAATATTTTTTCTCAAAACATGCCGCTTATAGTTATTCAAAAAGCACTAAAAAAAAAAATTGTAGAACGTACTAATTAAATTGCAAAAAAATATTGAACGTTTACTTAAGTTCCTATAATAACCATGTTCAAATATTTACTCATCCACCACATATCCATAACTCTCAAAAAGAACTGCAACCTCCATATTCCATATTTTAAATGCTACCTCCCGCTTTCCATTAATTAACTGTTCATCTAATTACACTCGCAACGCACACTGCTATGCCCTTATATTAACCAAATTCAAACGATATCACCGTTAAACTGTCTGGTATTCTGCCCAAAAAAGGACGGAAAAAGAAAAAAAAGAAAAAAAGAGAGAAGATAAAAATTAGAAACAGGAAAAACGGCAGCGAAGAAAGAAAGATTGCTATGAATTCAAGAAACGCGTTAACGTACCCGCGATCATGTGGCATGCACTGATTAACTCTAGAAGCACTCCTTTGATCTAGCCGTGGCGTTCTCGAGGAAATTAGAAACACTCCGCGAATTTACGTGGGAGCCAGTTTCACAGCGTACCTACCGTGACTAGGTACATACCTGCCAGGCGGCGTACACGGAATCGTTCGCGACAACGAAGCCGATTCTCTGTCTCCTGGAGTGGGTCGGGATAAGGGGTGCAACCGGTTCGGATCAAACGCGAGCAGAGTTAATGACGCCATCAAGGAGAAACTTTCTCCGCGAGGTACGCACGGCGCAGCGGAAATTCGTGTGGATTCAACGCTGTCAGAGGAGTGCAGTCTAGGGTACGACGCAAGGGGAAGTCCAAATCTACAGGGTGTTCCTTAATCTTGCTGTCGCCGTAGCATTGCTTTGACTGCTCGCAGGATTTCAAACGTTCCTTGCCAGTGGAATCTTCCAGCTGTATTTTTGAATTATACAAGCAATTTCATCCGCTTTCTCCGGAATATTTGATAATTTAAAATGGAGGATGGAAGAAAAAGGAAGGTATACGAGATAACTTTTCCCGGGATCGTTGAAGATGGGGTATAAGGTTGCTTTGTATATAGGGCTCGTTGAAGTTTCTACAGGGTGGTTCTGGGAAGTGGACCGAGTCGTAGATCTTTGTAGGAAGAATTGGGAATTGCGGGGAAGAAAATTTAAAAGGAGAAGATTGCAGTGTGTGCTGCATTTTATGCACCTTGAATTCTTTAGGAGTAGGTATATACCGATGTACCTAAGATATGGAGATATATTGTATCTCGGATAAAATTTTGTATTATTCTTTCTGTGGCAGGTAAAGAAACTTACTGTTAGGTCTCTTATTTTCATCACACGCAATGAAAGTTTTCATGTTTGATTGGGAATGCAAATTATTATAGATGTCCCTCGCAGCATAATGTAATTCTCATATTTCGTTCCAACTTTGTTTCCTCTCTAAAAAAATATTAATATTTCGTAACGAAGAAACAGCTTTTTTCTTATAAGAACGATGATTTGTAATGTAGAAACAGAACATAGGAAATGATTATTACATTAATGATGAATTCTGTTAAGAAAAATATGAAACATAAGAAAGCTCCTTTTGTTAGCACACTTTCCATCATAATTCCCTGTTTGATAAATCCTTCAGGAAGCATATGGCAATTATACTACATCTCATAGAACCTTTGATCCAAGAATCTTGAAACATCTTCAGACGTCTAAATAACTATTTCATACTACTCACAAAATCCATTACAATACAAAGCATGCAATAAATCACTTGCACAAAAATAATACACAATTCTTTCTTATCCTAATAAAATATTAAAGTCCATATTCCCTCAATCACTTCCAAAGTTCTCCAAACCAAATAAAAATATTCGAATAATACCGTTCATCTTTTTCAAATCCAATTTTCTCAAAACCACAGGAACAAAATTTAAATACACCCTTGTTCCTACCCCTAAAATCCAACTGAAGTTCGGAGAGAAAAATAAACGAGCGAAAAGTAAAAATGAGCAGGAAGGAAAATCCATTTTTCGACCGCAGTTTGTTGAACTTCTCGTAATTCAGCAAAGCACGGTGACTTACGATGCCATACACGCGCGAGTCGCGTGCATCGGTAAGGAAAGGGGACGCGAGAGTGGTGAGCAACGAGCATCGCGGAGGGTAGCCCAGAGCATGCTGAATACGTCGAGTTCCCGTGATATTCTGTAATGTCATGAAGCATGTACTTACACACTACCGTGAGATTCTTCGAGACCAAGGCCGTGGAGAAAGTCGGCGCGTCCGCCGTAACTTCGCAACTGAACGTACCCGAGAGGGCGAAGTCGACGTCGCGCAGCGTTACCTGGCTCTTGTTCGAGTTCCCGTCCTGAAACAGAGCAACGTGTGTGTGCAAAGTGAATGCAAATAGATATCAACCGCGGCGACACGCGTTATCGCACGCCGCCAACGGTACGTTAGACCAAGCACCTCCAACCCCCGTTCATGCCCTCTTCGATTAACGATAACTCGATTTACCTGGACCGGTTATAATTCGAATTAAATTCCATACCGGATGCGACCAACTACTGGATTTATTCGCTCGACTCTTTATCGTTCGCACGAGGGTCGAACGGGAGTACGGTTCATTGACTTGCTTTTTCTCGCGTTCCAACCGGATAAGAGAAAAGTCGGTGAACGCTGTATAACCGATGAATTAAGCCAACACCGTGACGAATTGATGGAATGAAATGTGCGTTGAGTTTATCCGAGGGAACAACAACTGTTGTTTAGGCAAAACGAGAGGATGGAATGGGAATTGAGGGTGAAATCGAGGTAGATGAAGGGATTCTTAGAGTGAGTGGAACTTTCTGTGAACCATGTGGACTGCTCTGTTTTTGGAGGTGGAGAAGTGTGAAGGATATGCTCTGTCTACCAATTTTGATGTATCATTTACGTTACCACGCATCATGGTAGAGGTTGTTTTCTTCGTAGGAACGCGTGAGATGCTCTAAACGTTTTATGCTCTAGAACTGATAAATTTGTACGATAGCTTATATGTTAATCTGTTCTTTGTTAACTCGTCGAAGCCGCAATTCTTTTCTTTGAAATCGCGATTCTAATTGTTCGAAGTCTCGAATTTGACTATCTGAAGTCTCGACTATGATTGTTTGAAGTTCCGAAGTTAACTGTTCAAAATCTCGAATCTGACTGTTTCAATTTTGGTTGATTTCTGATTCCTCGTCTTGGCATGTCGAGGATGCCCGCTGATTGGTTATTTTGAGAAATGTTAATATTCCAATCAACAGCATTCTCAGTGTCGTGACCACCCTTCCATGCGCCCTTGGCGCGCCTTCTTTTGGAAAGGGTGGGACGATACCTGAGCAGGCGTGGGGTCACGAGTTCTACTCAAGGGTTACGATATTCAAGGGTTAAAATAAATCATTTTTATATTTACATCACTGCCTACCCAACATTCTTACAAATATATTATGGGTAAATCATAATATTTAAAATGGTATAATAAAGACAAATATAAAATTATGTTCCTATTTGAATATAAGTTAGTATTAATTTTCTCAAAAAATTTAGGAATAAACTAAGTCATTCACAGATCAAAGATTAACGCCACTTTTGGAATTTAAATATTAAATAGATTTTGAGGTGTATAATAAATAGCACTGCAAGCTATTGTACCACTAAAGTGCAAATAGCACCAATGAGATTACATTATTTATTGTTTCACGAGGCATATAGAAGGAACGATATAGAAAATATTTTCTCATTAATATTTGTGGTGTTTCGTGAAAGATATATATTTCAGGTAATTTATATGGAATAAAATTTAATAATTGCATTACGCATAACGAAGTTATTTTCTCGCAATATTATGAATGGGTGATTATTGACAAGCTGTCCGTATTTAATACCATACTAATAACAGAACAGATTCATTTATTAACCTTTGCATATAAATCACGATATACGTATTTGTTTTTGTTCCACAAAAATTTATAAAGCAAATTTTATTAATAGTTAAGTATATAGTTACCAAGGCTTTAGAAATTTGTTAGAACAATAACTCATGGAAATTGCAGATGCATTGACATTTTTTCACGTTGGTTCAATTTCATGGTATTGATAAGTATATTTATTCAAATATATATATATTTATTAAATAATATACTTTCGTAGAAAGCATTATACCTAAATTATCCATTAATTCTCTATTATCCTGAGCGATAAATATTAAATAGTCGTAATTTTTTACTTTATATCGTAGGTCAAAATCGATTTCCTTTAACAGTGAAACAAATAAAGTTAATTCAATATGTATCGTATTATCTGTATACATAGTGTTTTATTTTATACTCGGATATATTTTCTAAAAGATTCTTCCCGTATAAATTTTTTGGCATAGAATTTCTTAAATCACGTTATGTCATCGTGCACTACTATCTTTTGTTTGAAGCTAAATTTGCTTGAAACTATCGACACGTCTATTGTCTTGTACACCTATCTGAACCTTCGCTGTTCAAACTTGAAGTAATTTGACGTAATGGAAGCGAGACATCGAGAAACGAAACGGATTGACCTTAAATCTTTTCGGTGTATTTTATTGCAGAACATTTGAAATCCGACTTTCAGAGTGTAAGCATCAATTCAAGAGATCTTCTATGACACTGCAGAACGTACCAGGTTATGCAATACCGTATATCATGTCTGTCAAGCATAAATATTGGATTTTCAACGATTCTCTTTTCAAACTTTTTTCCTCGCTGAATCATTAATTCCTGTCCTTTGTGAATTATGTATGAAAACAATCCTAATCTCAAATATTCCTTGATATTCGATAACCATATTCACCTAACTAAAAGCAGTATCTAAACACAAATTTCACTAACTTTAACACTGACACAAATAATACATAACCAATCATGGATGGAAGCCATTATGAAACTTAGAAATTGAAGAGGATACTTTGGAACATAGCGTTCGAATACTTTCGTGAGTCATTGTCATCCCGTATGAGATATAAAAAGCTAAAAGCTGTATTAATTATTCTAATAATATATATATACACAAATAATATGGTATATGAATATCATTTAAAAGAAAACAAATTTTTTAAAATGACACTTTTAGAATTTTTTCATTTCTACTCTTCGACTGAATACTTTAATTACATCTTAATTGAGTATACGATTCGTGGATATGTTCGATATAATTAACAATGGTAAACACATAAACAGAGTAACAACGTTTCGCGTTATTAATATCAATTAACAACTAATTCTGATAATTGCTATTATAGCGGTAATCTGATTTTACAACTTTGTACATTGTTCAACCAATAACATATTGTATGGCGAGCTGACAATGGCATGAATGATGCAGATCGTCATTATATCTGCTAATCTAATCAGGGCGATTTTTTGCGTTCACCGATTTCGCAAAATTCCTACACGAACGAACACGTATCCGCTGATTATTAATACGTAAATTAGTATTAACGATCGTACCTCGAAATGGTTCCCGTTATTGGATGATTGGGATTCTCGAACAAAAGCGTATTATTTAAAGCGGACCACAAGCTCAATGAGAATTCAATTTGCACGTTGCAATTTGCGTGGAGAATTAACAGTTTTGATGACGTTACTTAATCGGCAAACAATTGTTTTGTTGTCGGTTTCTTAATGTCATTGTCGTTCACGTATAATACAGTATTTATTCTATTTTTTATTCCACTTTATCCATTCGAAAATTATCGTTATAATAATATAACTAAGACTTGTCCTTAATTTGCATGGAATTCAATTTAAAGCCTGCTGATATAATCCCAGGGTACGTGTTCTGTTGAATTCGAACTGGACATCATCAACAATATGTTGTATATTTTTCCCATAGTAAACTACAACTGAGAGCTTTTATTAAAAATTGTGGAAATGAAAATATGCTTTTTACGATATACGCAGGACACGGGGCCGTTTTAAGTGACATAAATCGACTGCTAAATGCTAGTACTGTTGCGGTGAAATAGTATAGTACATTAAATGTAGCGATATTAAATATATAAATTCCACAAAAAAATTTTGACAAATGGACATTCCATGCCTGTTAAAATGTAAAAAATTTTTCTGAAAATATATGATGATAACGAAATATCAAGAAATACATTTATAATTTCGCGCACGTAGAAATATCACGAAATATCTGATACCACGATTCATCGATAAAAATGTTCAAATCCGATATGAGAAATTCCCTTTTGCGATCAAGAGTATTTCGTACCATCAACCAGCTCAGCTTTCATCGGTCGAAAAATAACTACAAGAGATACGGTTTTACGTGACTAATTCCAGGTTTACGTCTGAAATTCGCCAATCTAACCCGAAAACTTTTATATTTCCTACAATGCAAAGTCGTTATAAAAATATATTACTGCCGCAATAAACTCGCGTTTTATACCTTTTATCCAAAATCTAACTGTACCTTCCCAATACTAAACGCTTCTTACATATTTTATTCCCGGGCATAAAATTTCACGACCGCAAATTCCGCGTATGAATTTCACCCAATTACGTAACAATCAATACCTATGCTGCTCTACATACCAAGAACAATCCGGACGTATGAACGTCGAAATCGCTATCCGTTCCCCGAAAGACATCAATTGTGCCTGTAGGAATTAAAAGTTCCCCTCTCCTCTGTGCAAACAGCGAAACGTTAATGCCGGCAAAGATCGTAGCTCGACAAAGGATATTCTTTTCTTTTTTTCTCTTCTTTTTCTTTTCTGCTAAATGTTTCTCCGGTGACCGGGCAGCGTGGAGAGTAGCACTCGAGAAAATCGTCATCTTATCAGGAATTACCCTGCACTCGAGTAAATTGGCTCGATGAAGCGAGCGCGAAAGCCGAGGCACTGGGAGTAAGATAGCGATGAAGGCGAGGCTGAAGCACCTCCAGGGAAAAGTGGCGGAGGACCGTTTCATTGGAACGGGTAAAGGCAAAATATGCATAATTAGCGGGATTTAAATAACGAAGCAAGAAGATATGCCGCGGACGGGACGCAAGAGACAACGGGAGAAGAGGGAGAGACGGGAAGGTGGCTTTTAACGAGGACGAAAGAAACGAAGCCGAAGAAAGAGCTGGCTTTTTCCCACCCCCGCGTTGATTTATGTGTGTTAGAATGCGCACGATGGATGCTAAGTGGGTGGAGACCCACGGGACGCAGATTGAAAAACTGTTTATTACGGAATTTCGGGTTTTTTCTCGTTATTAAACTGTTATCAGGGATTACAGGCGTAGGAGAAATTACCTAGCGTGACTATCCCATTATAGACAACGGTGAATCGATTGCAATTTTTTCTCTTCCTGTTCTATATCAGCATTTCTCAACGCTGCTTGGCTAATGACATTCTTGTGGAAATTTGTATCCCCTATGGCCATCTATTATTATCATATCATTCAAAAATTCAAATTTTTAATAAATATACGTAAATATCGTGTACTGTACTCTCGTTTGTTTATATAAATCAACTTGCAGACACTTAGTATAAATATTTTCATGTAGCCCCTTAACCAATGCCGTTATAAATGAAACTATCATTTACCAGCAAAATGGGCGTTTCATTCATATAAGAATCACAAAGATCTGAATCTTATAACCAATCATCTGTACACCCTAAATGTCAAAACACAGCCTCCATAAAATGGTCCGTCAACGCCTAACTGATAACGCAAGTAAACGTTCACGGTCTAAAAGATCGCGTTCACGGTCGCACTCGCGATACGTTGGAAACGCCTAGAAAACAATTTTGTAGACTATACGGATCGCGCTATTTGACTTCATAAAAGAGAGGAGGAAAAAAGGAGCAGACCGTAACAAACAAATATACAGGGAAAAAAGGAACATTCGCTGCTCGTTATATCAACGCTGCTAACCAACGAACCTATCCATAGAGAAAAATGGTCATCCAGTTGTAGCAACAAAAGCTTCCAAATACTGCGAACGACACATTGTGTATAAGTAAAAAAAAAATCGGAACTCGGTAACAGTCACGTGACGATGAATCCACCGATACGACCTAACCTAATATTTCCTTCGAGGCTCAACAACGTTTCTCGGTCCGTGCTTTTATGCCACGTGATACAGCTATTGTGCACTGCTCTTGGCCAGAGCATGATAGAGAGCTGGTGCATATGGAAAGCGACGATAAACACGAAAAAGGGGGCTTCACGTTGGTGGATTGTTCATTCGATGGTCAAAAACACAGAACAATGACAAGAACGACAGGGTTAGGCGAGCTTGTTTTCAGATGCTTAAACGCGTGCACGCGTGATGGCGCCCCCTGTGAAACCGACATGGCGCGGAAACGTGGGCAACCGTTGCGTGCGGGACTGCGCGGAAATGTCCGAACGATGATAAAAGCGGCCTGTTTTACGGCGATTACAGCGGTCAAGGATGGTGTTGACGAGCGTCGGCCGGCCGGACGCGATAAAACCACATATTTGGATCGTCCCTGACCAACCAGAAGGCTAATCCCCCGTGATATCCACCGGTGTTGATTGATGCGGCCGCGAACACCGCCTTCCAAAATTACACCGGAAACTATGCGTTCTCACCCAGATTCATGTATTCCGAAGGGTCTTTCCTAATGGTGGACAGCTGATTGTAAGTCTCGTGGAATTGAGTATAATTCGCTCTTCCTTGGTTCAATTAAATTGTGGCACGAAAGACTGGATTGTTCAAAATTTTCCACTCATAGGGGAAGTTTATGAGAATATTATTACCACGTTGAAATTTGATATCATTTGATGTTTACCTCGAACTTCTGGATTGTTCTATTTACGTGATAACGTACTAGAACTTATTAATGAAGGTATAAAATTCATAAAGTAGATGCAAATTAATATTGATTTTTTGCATGCAAATGCTTTAATTACGATTTTCGAATATATTAGAATATATCATGGATGCTACACAGTCTACTCATAAAAATTCCGTGTTCATCTGTAATATAATTAAAAAAGCAGAGAGCCTTCGTTAACATTTCTCTTTATAAACGTTAGTATTATCACCTTGAGATGTGCTGATGAAGTGAGAATTGTAATTTTATTCAAAAGATAGCACGTATTAACATAGGAATGTAGGAGACAAAGGTTCGAGAAACTTCCCATTTTCCAGTTATAAAATCTGAACAGAGGTGAAATAATTAAAATAAATAAACGACCTTGGCAGGAAGCGACATATCAATCTTAATTTGTTCAATCCTTTCTATCTCTTAAAATATATCACACATTACTCAACTGTTAAATTTAAGTTTAAAGTACACCAATAAAATACTATTTTCAAACTTTGCAATGAACATAATTAACAGCCTATTTTATCTTTCAGGAGAAGGTTTAAAAATGATTGCAAATATTTTCTAAACGTAATGGATACCGACAAAACTGTATATTGACAAATAAAAATACAAAGTTAACTATACAATACCTTCCAATAACAAAGTGTCGGTCATGTTGACTAATAAAACGAATTAACTTTTAATTATTAAACCTTATCCTCTTGAGCATTTGCAATCAAAGCATTATAATTAATATCAAAGCATTGCAGTGAAACAATACAACATCATTCGAAACGACAGAAGTCATAAGTCATTAAAAAAAAAGGCGTGATCAAACGAGTGAACTCATAAGTGCACTTAATATAAATTGAAATCAGTCTTAAAGAAGTGAATTATGAAATTGACTAATTAAAAAGAATTTCCACGAAAAAATCCAAAATTAAATTTCATATTCTTACGGATTATCATACAAATTTAGAATTCTCCAGTTTTTAATGATTTATTATATAAGTCGATAAACCTGTATAGCAAAAATAAGCTAATAAAAATGTAAGCTAATATATTAGAAAAATACATAATAACGATTTAGAAATAGTTTAATTCTTAGGAGCATTTAAACCTTTGCAGTAAACGTTGGCAAATGGTCTATTGAATTATCTTTGTATCATAATTCATATATTCAAAAACACCTTTCCTTGTAAAACAGAGAACAAACTTTGTCAAAACTTCTTATCCACTCCAATTCGCACCTAAAAGATAATCCCAGCAGGAGAATTTTTAAATCTATAAAAATTACAACGTAAATATGTTGAGAAGAATGTTATCGATAAAACTAATTACATCCTTCACAAGCAAACACGATGTTAAACAAAAATCAAGAACCCAGGAATAAAATTCTTATTCCAAACAAACCAACAGCTCATACAGGCACACAAATAAATTACTCGAAACTTAATATTTACTATAGAATAGACTACTTTTAATAAATTTCTCTACGCAACAGACAAATTTACAACTCTATTGCCAGCAATAAATGTTCAAGTAGTACCAGCAATATATAACGGATACCACTTATCGAATCGTTAAATTACACACGTGAACGCTTGCGTGAGCTGACACGCGCGATAAAGGAAAAAAAGGCAGTATTGACACTTACGTCAACGTAAATCCCAGTGATGTTGAAGACTTTCATGGCCGGCTCCTCGACCGGTGTGTAACGGTAGAACTCGTACCTGCCACGGTACCACTTGAGGGAGTAAAGAGGAGCCTCCTCGAGATCGTAATGGCAGCGCAGAATCACCTTCTGACCACGTTGCACTACCTCCGGAACTACTTCTAGGCTGACATCCCGCAGGCAGCTCGCACCTTTGTGGGAAATGAGAACAGGAACGGAGCATTAAGTCTAGTGTGCATCATTAGTCCGCTTTTACTCCTCGCGCCGGAGGTTGCACAGCACGCGTCAGCGAGAAATTGCAATTCCACCGAATGACAATTCCTCTCGCTTCCTCCGCCTAACCCATTCTGTCTCCCTCTTCACTGATACGTACACATGCACACAGCGGCACACATCCATACGAGCATACACAATTTTTCTTCTCGCTTTTCCAGTCATCTGTGCCTCCTCCATTCGCCTCGTGTACCCTCGATCAACATATCACTTCCTTCCTCCCTTCCGCCCCTCTACTTTCGTCAGAGCTTTCTTCCCTATCACGAACCGATGAACATACTACTCTCTTCGGTATTTTCCGCTGACGTTCCGGTTCACTCGGATTATCGACGATTCGACCTATTAAAGCCCCGAGGAATTGAACTGTATACGTCATTCATATTAAAACAGAGTCGAGCTTTTGCTGCTTCTTGATGTCGCTGCAGGATGAGACCTCTTATTACGTGCTAGCTTCCGGCTACACGGAAGTAGGTAGACGTCGTTGAGCCACGAATAGGAACGAAACTCCGCGGGCTGATTTTGCCCCTCGAGAAACGCGAAAAACATCCGACTGATATTTTAGCGGCCATATTATCTTTTCCACCGAAATCGCACGCTGTGTGCTTTGCGGCGGAAAAGGGGACACTCGCGCCACCTACCCGAGGATTAACTATTCTACGCTGTAGATTCCAGGTTCCATTCGCCGTGTAAATGTACGATCTTTATTGACATTTCAAGGGTTTGCGTTAAAAACGACCTTTGTTATTTACAGTATGCACGAGATCAAGGGTGAAGTAAACAAGATAAATCCTAAAATTGATACAAACTATGATTGAGTATGACATTTCATTTTTGTACATATCTGATCAAATTTTTACGAAATATAATATTTCGTTAAATTTTACTGTAACGATATATCACGTAATGATTTTGTAATGTATTTACCATACTGGAATATAGAGGCATGTCTCATTCTTCCTTTTTAGTGTACTACTGCAGATATGGATTCAATGATAAGCAGGATTAATCTGGCCAAGTTCATAATGATAGTATTGCTTTGCATTGGAAGTTTTCCAGTGTGTACTTTTACTTCACTGACCAAGTTTAACTTTCTCTAGAGTATCCTGCTCAAGTTAAAGGTTTTAAGCAATGATTTATGTGAAACGTAAGGAAGAAATCGACGGAACTTTTTTCGAAAACTTCGAAACAGAAAACTCTGAACTTCCTTTTCTTGATTACGTGACCAGAATAAAACATAGAAGTTGAAATTTCTTTCTCGAAGTACAAGACGAGTTCCCTGACGTAACCAAACCAAACTTTGTTCTACTCTCCTATCCCTTTTGCTATTTCATTCCTACTGCTTAGTTCGACCCAAGGAATACCTTTTCTCGATTTCCAAATAATCGTCAAATATGCTCTTAACTTATTTCTATATTAATACTTGGTCTTCTGTATTCTTCCACACCAATACACCAATCACATTAACACCACACTGTCATCAAACGATCGTTATTATACTATAGGCCATGTTAACGTCATACGAATTTCAGCCGCTAGAGATCGTTCAAGATGGCCTGAAAAATACATAACATTGTCGTAAACTATTAAATAATGTAACATACATATGTACGTATGCTTTTATCAGCTACATACAATTATAAGTTATATAATTATGTAGATGTTATTTACTTACACTTAGATCTATGTTTATACGTATACATATGTACTCTTCTCATTTTGTCCTACATATTTACTTATATTCTCTTATTTTGCAAAGAAAATCTAGAGTTTGTTAATTCGATTATTAATGGTTTATGTTTGTTTAAAGTGCGTAATTTTATAAAGAAAATGAAAACGTTAATAGGTGATTTATATGGCTGTTCCAACATACGGGAGTCATGGAAAGTAACACGAGAATACAGGTTTCGTTGTCTGCAAGCTATCAGACGTAATTCCAAAATGTTGTGCAAAATGCATTCTACGAGATCATGGCGACCAGACTAGGTGATACGTAATATAAATTGTACGCAGTTGCAAACAGGCTGCACAATATATTGCACAATATACTATCGATTTTATGCCATTCGATTACCTATCAACAAATAAATATTAATACGGTGTGGGCATTATAGAGATCCTAGCAGTTTTAAAAGTACAAAAAATTCATTTCGAGAGGAATCACACTAAACAGCGGAAATACGGTAGTAAAATGGCCTTTTACAGCAGTTTCGTTTTGATCATGGCGTCATCGAAGTTCTTTTATTCGAGATCACGCAGGGTACTATCTAAAATAAGACGATAGCGCAACAGCGACTGCATTTCATGGAGAAAATTGTAATTTCTATATCGCTATACGTCGCTAAAACATCGACAAATATTTCATTTTACGTTTTTTTTCTCTTTTGCCATTCTTTCTTCATTTTTCACCTTTTCCCCTTTTGTCTTTTCTTTTCTCTTTTTTAAACGAAGCCGAAGCTTATTCAAAATGATCAGTGAATTATAAATATCTAACAGTAGGATTTTATGTTTCCAAAGATATCTTTTTAGCGAAAACTTAAAAAATCGTTTAAAGTAAAAGTTTTCATGAGGTAGTAATTAGAATTTACACTGTACACCTTTTAAAAAGTACTTTAACACGGCTGGAAACGCATGGTGAAAATTTTAAATACATTTTGATCCATGAAAGGCTTGGAAGCTGAAATATGTTTTCCAGTTATGCTCTTTCAAAAAGATGTCTTATCTTTCAACTTTACCACTCACTGAACTAAAAATGTACTTAATGCACAGATGGTTGCAGCTTTTGCTACACAGACACTCGGCTACTCTGTAAAATTAGCCACGATATAATAAGTATAAATGAAAATAAAAAAGATAAAAGGATAAAAAGATAAAAAGATAAAAAAGCTACAGGAAGCATATATTTCTTTTTCAAATACAGCCTTTGGAAAATACAGAAATCGTGAAATGCACGTATGTTTAATTTTCATCTCGTGCAACTGATTTATTTTCCACACTTCATTACATTTTTGCAAAGTGAATAATCATCTGGGTATAATAAAACAATACTATTGGAATTCGAAATCGGTTTATCAATTAAATTTGTAATTAACAATATTATTACAAATATTACAACTTTTTCGATATCAATTATATTTTCATTCAAATATAATTTGAACGATAAGAATATTGACACACCATGAAAATTGAATTAAAAAATCCCAATTATAAATTTTTACGCTCCACCCTAGGTTGAACATTCCACACAAATATCTTTAAAAACAGTGTTATTTGATTATCTAGTATAACGTGGATCAATTAGTACAACTCGTAACAAAGAGAAAGGGTGAACAAAAATAAAATAAAGAATCCATCAACCGTGGGTTGCGCTATAGTAGTGGTTACTATAATAAATACGAACGGCAATGTTTTATATTTATATAAATATTTTATATTTCTACGATCTCGTCGATAGGAATGCGTATCATGATCAGGTTCAGAACTATCCTACAAAGTATACAAGAAGAGAATAGAAATTCTGAAATGTTCTCTCTAAGAACAATAGAGACAAATACTAACGCCTTCTAAAAATTTTTCGACACTTAACGTTGCATACTTTCATCGACATTCGCGTAAAGGTGTCTGGCGACATTTGCCGCGGCAAGTACAGGAAAAATAAATGAAAATTCTTGGTGTACAAAAGCCAAAAGCTGCGAAGTTGGAGGAGCATTTCCTCCTTTCATTTCGAACTGAAAGGAATTCTAGGAAATGTAGGCAGGTACATGGCGCACGCTGAAAGTTTCTGGGGACTGCTTTTGAGGATCGCGATGTTCTCAATCTTCGTTTGCTTTCTACTAGTTTTCCTCTTTTTTCTCCTTCTTTTTTTTTTTACTGCGTTACCCGATGCACGAGAAAATATATCTCGTTTTGAAACCGAATTCATTCGAGGACCACAATGAGAGGCATTGAGCGACTGACGACGTGACTGATTGCAATTTACGAAAGCTCTAGGGTTTCTACGAACTCGATATGTTTGTAAATTTCAGTAATTTTTCGCTGATTTTTTAATTAGTTCATTGATTAATTGCAGCTTCAGTAAATTCTCTCAATAATATCCGTTAAAGAATTTTTAATAGTAGAATAGCTTTTCACTAAACTAATACACGTACACAGAACTTTTTAAAGTCTGTAGTATATACTAGTTTTTAAAAATATTTAGTTACTTTCCAAAGTATTTGAAACTTTCTAAATTGTTCACTTTGAACTGATGTTTATTACATGATATATTATTGATATTTCATTATACTTCAGCAGCTCATTTCAATTAATGATAAATTTCCCAAATATTTATTATAAAAATGCAGTAAATAATATTTCATCTACTATATGACCAGAAGAATTCCATAATCCCAGAGTCAATTCACGCACAAGATTTAAATTCGTTAGCTCTAATTATCAATAGCATGAATATCTTTTTCGCCCTCGCCTCTTCCACTCTCTGACTCTGTCTCTCTCTATCTCTCCTTTTCTTTCTCCTTCTCTCAATTCAGGTGCTTTCGTTCCGTAGAGAGACTTCGATCTACCGTTTCATTCTGATATTTTCAACGAACAGTGCACCTGCGAATGTGCACTAAGCAAACTAAGCTTCAATTCCTGACCCTAAGAGACCGTGATCAGAATTGCAGAATCCAGTTAGCTTTTCCTCCACGATGCCTCTTCCCCTTTCTATTAAATCGCACATGACCTTTATTCATTGAATTAATACTGTTTAACATTATTTGTAAAATAAAGTATTTGTAAAAAGAACGAATGTTTATAAGAAAAATACGTTTCCTTGTATAAATAATCTAAGTCCTTTCTAGGACTAATGCTTAATAAATATCGCGAGGAGTAAATCGGAGGGAAAAGTGATGGTAGAAAAATGTTTGTAAATAACAACTTC